TGGCTGGGTGCTCCCCGCCTGGGCTGCGGGCACCAAAGCTTTGGCTCGGGTCAGTTTTGAGTCAAATGCATCTGCAGGGACAGGAGAAACCGAGCACCGAGGCTGGGCCGTGTTTGGGATGGGTGCCTCGTGTGAGAAGGGATTTGGGTGCCAGGGGGCCTGGGATGGGTTACACCGGTCCCTGCTCCAGGAAAGGTTATCCCAGTGCCACGGGCTGAGGCTTCTGCTGGTGCAGCACAGAGCTCAGCCAAGCTCCTGCTCCTCGCTCTCCTGCAGCTGCCAGGTGGGAAACCATGCCTTCCTCAACCCAGCCCTGCCTTGGCCGTGCCCCAAAGCAAACTTAGGCTCATTCCTGCCCTGCATTGCGCTCCAATAAAACAAAAAGGCCTGCTTTATTTGTGTGGCAGATGAACTCTGGGCTTCACGCAGCCGCTGGAGGGGCAGGCTGAGGATGGTGAGGGTGAGTGGGCAGGGTGAGGATGATGAAGGTTGGCACTGGCTCTGCACAGCCCCACGCCGGGCACAGGAGGTGTGGGGTGACTCAGAGCGCTGCCTCCTGCTCCAGCTCCACGGCAATTCCCGTGGATCCAGCGGAGCTGCCGGATCAGCAGCCCGGCCCAGCTGCCTTGGCCACCCTCCACGCCCTGCAGCCCGTCCCGCTCGGAGCTGGGTGCACAAACAGGATGGGCTGGTTTTGGGCACGGAGAGAGCAGGGCTCCGGAGGCAGCAGCACCGAGCACGGCTCCATCCCCACCATCGCTTCCCTGGGATGAGGGGCTCCTGGACAGCCCCGTCAGCAGGGTCACTATGGGACACATTGACTCCTGCACTCTGGGGACAGTGCCAGCTTGGATTTTGTCTGCCTGTCTGTTCGGGGTACAGGACAGTGAATCGTCTGGCAGCAACAGAGTTCCTGTGCACATTCTGTGTGCAGGAGAGTCCCAGTCCTCGCTGGCATCCCCACATCCCTCTCAAGGACCAGATTCCCTCAGCACCAAGGCTTGTGGCTGTGGGTCAGGAGGCTGAGCTGCTCCAGGCCAGGCAATGAGGAAGGAGAGAGTGAAGCACAACTCCCACCTCAAACACACAGCCATGGGCTGCCCCATACTGGGCTGCAATCGTGGTTTAACGTGTTCCCTTTCCTGCTGCCCACAGGGCTGCGACACCAGCCTGAAATAAAGCGACATGGGGGGAAAACCACGGCGTCTCAGCTTTTTCCAGGCAGGGGGCGTGGGAGGTGGCAGCGGGCACAAAAGGCCGTGTCAGCGGCAGCCCCGGGAGCTGCCCGTGGAAKCAGAGGCAGTTTGAGCTGGCAGGGAGGAGCAGCTTTGGGCTCAGACAGTTCCCAGCCTGCCCAGTGGGTTCCACTTGGGCACGTCCCAGWACTCCCAGCGCTGCTGCGCTTGGCCTGTGGCTGTTTCGTGGAGACACCTCCTAATTTTTCACCCCTAATTTCCCCCAGTAATGACCCCGGGCAGAGCTGCTGTGAGTGCTGGAGGGGCTCAGGCAGGAGGGCTCGGTGCCCACCGGGAGCTGAGCCCAGCCATGGTGAGTGCTGGGATGTGGAGGCTCCCTTTGGTCCTGCAGCACTGGATCCCAATGTCCCTGAGCTCTTCTGAGCCTTTTAGGAAAGGGAAAACGTAATTTTATCCTCTTCCCCATATTTTCTTGACTTTCTTTAGGAAGGCAAAGCCTCTCTCCTCCTGGGCAATTTCCAAGGGAGGTGTTGGACCCAAGGAGGCTCCTGTGTACCCATCCCTGGGAGTGTTCAAGGACAGCTTGGAACAACCTTGGTATTTTAGAAGGTATCCTTGCCCATGGCAAGGGGGGTGGAATGGAATGAGCTTTTAGATCTTTCCAATCCAACTCATTCTGTGATTCCATCCCCCAGCCCCTCCTGGCACCCCCATCCTGCAGCACCAGGCTTTTGGAGCCGGGGAAGGGGTGGCTGGAGCACAGCTCACAGAAAACCAGCCCAGCTCACAGAAATAGCAGCGACAGAAGGAGTGTTTGGTGTACCCGACCTTCTGCTTCGTGCAGCTCCAGTGCTGCTTTTCCAAACTAAAAATACACCTCTTACCTTGACTGCTCYGAGGAAGAACACTCGCTCGGCAGGTTGTTTAGGATTCAGGGGAAGAAAGTTCAGGCAGAGCTCAATTAGTCTGCCTYAATTTACAAGCCAAGTTCTGTGTCTGCATGATTTGCTTCGCTTGTCTGTGCACATTTTAAAGCACAGCAATACTGRGGGAGGGCGTTTTTCACTGCACGTACTTAGGGCAGAAATACTGCTGTTATTCACATGTTTACAGCCCTCCTCATAATGAAACTGCTGYKTTYT